TGCTGATTAAATTACCAGTTTGAACAAAACTTAATTCAGAAGGTGCTTCTGTTCGTGAAAATGGTGTTGATCGTATGTTGCCATTGCTCTGGACCTTTTTGAGAAATAAGGAAATGTTCTTTCTAGAGAAGTGTGGCCCAAAATGATGAAATGCCTGGTTAGTTTCATTTGAAGTGGAAGAGAATTTTGGGGGCAAAGGATCTATACTGTGGAAATAATGTAGTGTGATACCACTTTAAGTGCTATATTTCCATTTTAAGGAACCATGGGATTTGTACTTTTCCAAGATCTTTAGCAAAGTCACAGAATGCTGATGCCTCACAAAACTACAGGAGCCAACATTCTGTAGCATGGAGCAAGGGCTGTTAATGTCAAACTATATCAATTCTACAGTGCAGATGCACCCAAAGAAAGCTGTGTTCCTCACCACAATTCTGTTCATACTTTCTCTCAGTTATGGTTAGATTTATACCCAGATCTTTGGAATGGCTATTGTTGTCAAAACATGTCACATTAAATTCATGGTGTAGATTTGCATGCTTAATTTTCCTATTTTAAATAAAAACTTTGGTATTAGGAGTGGGAGCATACATTGTAAGCCTAACAAAAGTTTTATCTTCCCTAAAGCTGTTATTTGTGTTGTGTGGCACCAATGGCAGATTCCCTCCAAATGCAAAAGATAATGTGCAGAGGGATCAGAACTATTACAATTGTGGCATGATATAAAGCTTGTTTGCTTTTTGCTTTTTCCTTTTTTTTAAAAGAAAGAATATTTTGTTTCTGATTTGGCATTCTAGACTTTTTTTTTAAATTAAAAACAGTATTGAGGATAAAAATGTACTACAGTCAGCCATCCACATTTGCTGCTTTGACTTGTGCTGCTTTGATTATTTGCAGATTTGATTAAAATGTTTTCTTTAAGAATCTCTAGGTCTTTCGGTGCAACTCTGCTGGAAATTGACCACAAGAGTCGTGCTAGAAGACTTAGAGATTACTAGAGAAAACACTGTTCTAGGCGTTTGTAGATTCTCCAGTGTGATTCTGTGGTCAACTTCTGGTAGATGTTTACCACAGAGTTCTGCTGGAGAACCTAGAGATTCCTAGACAGGTGTTCTCTCAGTTTAAAACATAGTGTTTTTTATTTATGGTTTTCCCACTTTCACAGGGGTCCTTTGCCCCTAACCCCAGCAAATGTGAAGGGCCTGCTATACACCATGCTTTGGAAGGTGGTGGACTCTCCTTCTTTGGAAGTCTTTAAACAGAGGTTGGATGGCCATATTTCGGGATTAGCTTAGTTGTTCATTCCTGCATGACAGTAGATTGGACTAAATTACCTTTGTGATTCTTTCCAACTCTACACGATAGATTACATGATAACATCCATGTATTTTCAAGAGTTCCTGCTTGTTTGGAGAACCTCTACATGAACAGGAACTTCTACTCCAGATAACTTGATTTCTATTTGAGAAAAACTATGACAAAGGAAGGTAAAAAGTTGGGTGCTCCCCGACACCCAGGTTCTAGAAAGTGTGGTGAGTAATGTCCATATAGGGTAGTGTAAAAAGGTAAAGGTATTCTCTGTTGACAAGGTTGTCAAAGTCATGTCTGACTGTTGGGGGCGGTGCTTATCTCTGTTACTAAGCCGAAGAGCCAGCATTGTCAGAGACTACTCTGTGATCATGTGGTCAGCATGATTTCACAGAATGCTGTTTACCTTCCCATAGAAGTGGTACCTATTTATCTACTTGCATTTGCATGCTTTTGAACTGCTAGTTTGGCAGAAGCTGGTACAAGTGACAAGAGCTCACCCCATCATGCAGCACCCTGGCCTCAAACTGCCAACCTGACGATCTTGCAATCAACAGAGTCAGTGTCTTAACCACTTGAGCCACTGCATCCCTAATATAGGGTAGTGATGACTCCTAAAAAGCTTATTGGTAAGTACAGTATGAGATACATATTCTGGCTGTTTGCCATAATAAATAAAAACGACAAAATGTATGAAATATATGATTGCTAGTTTCATAGACTGTTATGTGAGATGTGAGGCTGCAATTCAAAACAAGCATGCTGCCTTTCTTCTCTTTTCCTACATATTGGCCTCATTCAGTAATAATATTGATCTATAGTAAACTATGGTTTAGCATGATGTGAAATAGCCTTGAGTTTGTGTGCTCCCCTTTGCTTCTTTCTCAGGTGTATTTGTGAAGAGGTGGAAAGCTTTCACTTCCATTTTCTAGCTAGCTGTGGCTTATTGTTTTGTCACAGCTAACTGTGGTTAATCAGTGTTATTCATTGAAACTCCAACTTCAAATCATGGTTTATGAAGGTAGCTTGCTTCCCTAGAGCATAAACAAAATTAAACATAGCTAGAATTCAGATGCAATAATAAACTGACATTTTCTAAATTAAAATACAATACAAGCAAAAACATGATCTCCTCTTTGTGCCAGAAAATATATCCTGCAAACATGCTTAATTGTGATATCATATTGAGTTTCACTGCATCTGCTTCACTATTCATTGACTTTTGCTCTCAGGACAAGAAAATTCAGAGCATGAGGGTGTTGTGTCACATGTCTTCACTTATTAGATGTTATGGGGAGAGAAAGAGAGAGCAGTGGAAATTGCTGTTTTCAGCAGCCACCCTCCATGTCTGGTAATATTTTGCTCCAACTCTCTGTTGCCTTATTCGCCTATGATTGCAAAGTGCATAGCAGTTATGGGTTATTATTTCTTTTCAAGGGATTTGAATGAGTACTGTACTTCTTGTTCTAAATGTTTGTTTATTTGTATTCTTTTGCTCCCTGATCAGAAGAATGTTTGCCTGGAAGTGCTACTCGCGATTTCAATAAAAGCTGATTCCAGGGGGTTGTGGTAAAGATTATATTACCAATTAATGAGAGGGAAACAATTTTGATTTTCAGCTTTAGGTTCACTTCTAATGTAAGAAAAACAATCTTTCCCCTCCTAAAACATAAGGACACTTTTCTAGTTATCTGCACTATCTGAATGAAAAGTTCTCAATTTGTTCTAACAGTAATTGTGCAAAAATGCTTCTCTCTTCCAGCAACTGAACAATATATTCAAAATAAACTACTGGTTTGGAGCGGTAAATGACAAAACTGTAACTGATGACAGTATGTGATGGGCATCTGCATGTCTGCCTACCTATCTCCTGGGCCTCCTGTTATTTAGGTTTACCCCCTATTCCTGATCCATGTCTAGGTGTGTGTGGAGATCCTGATTTGCCTCCAAGCATTCTTCTGTCCAGCTGAAACCACTTTACAGGAGATTCTATAAGTTCTGGTGGGTCCTACTATGGGGGGTTGCAGACTGCCAGAAATAGTGCAAATTGAGTCCACTTTTAGGGTTAGGGTTAGGGAATCATGGGAACTGTAGTTTATTGTGGCACCAGAGCTCTCTGACAGAGAAGACTCAATGTCTCAGAAAAAAAAAAAACAATTCCCATGATTCCCTAGCACTAACCCTAACCCTAAAAGTGGACTCAATTTGCACTATTTCTGGCAGTCTGCAACCCCCCTAAGTTGATAATTGTAAGAACAAAATCATTTGTGACCACACTGATTTAGACCCTGCAGTTGGTGGAGCTCCTAGGGAGGTGTTCAAAGCAATGGTTGCGCAAGATTGCTGGAACTCATTTCAGCTGCATGATGGTGATGACCTTGATTTGTGTTCCTCATGGCTTGTTGGGAGTGATTGAGTGGAAGGCCAATGGTGCTACCTTGCTGGAGTGTCTACTACCTGGAGCTTCCACTCCTTTGTCCTCCCACCCTCAGCTGTTAAATACAAATTTTAATTGTGTACACTGTGTATGTATGGTGTATACATGTATCTAAAGAGGTGTTAAAATGGATAGTTATTTTGGCACTATTCTTCTCAGCCTTTGCTTGGGGAAAGAAGAGATCTTACAACTGACTGAGAAATACAAACCTTAGTGCACACATTTTAAGCTATTCTAAACTTATGTTCTTATAGATCCTAGTAAGCTGGGGAAGGGAAGTGTTTGGCTTTGGACAACTCTGTCCAGTTTTAACCATCCCTCAACATGGGCTTTCTTTGTTAGCAATGTCTAAAAGACTACACATTTTCCATCCTTGCAGTTTGCAGTGCCTCTCCTCCCTGATAAATAGATATGAAGATGGAGTTAGAACAGAAAATGGTCACTGCATGTCCATAGCAGCTTTGATGTTTTTATCTACAAAGGTATGATTTGGACAAAAACCCGTGCTCTCCTGCTTGTTTCCCTTGGTTTCTGTTCATTTTCTCTCAATGCTTCTCTCTTCTCTGTCCCATATATATTTCTCATGAGGTATATAACCCATTTGGGGATCATGCCATGGAAAAATGACATCATAGCATCATGCAGATTTAGGTATAAGATAACATCTCTAAAGGTATGGGACGGGAAATGTTCTGAAGAGAACATCTTTCTAAGGAATGCTGGCAGAAAAGGACTAGAAAGAGGTGTTTTGTCCAACATTGTTAAAATATTTGTTAAAAACTGTGAGCAGTCTCAGTTCAGCTAAAGGCTGGTGCTTGTTCCAGCAAGCCTGAAATGGGATCCAGCCGTCCCATTACTTAGGTAGGTTCTCCTTCATTTTCTATTGGAAAATTGTTTCATTTTACAAACATCTCTATCAGCATTAGGGTGAAAGGTATTTTAGAAACCAAAATATCAAAGCTGACATCTTTATCAATTCCAAATTTGGCTTTATTCCCATGAAATAGACCTCCTTTTCTGAGAGAGATCATTAAGATTTCTCCATTCCAAAAGAAGAAAGAAAATTGTACACATTAACAATACTTTCAGAGTTTTTGTGTAAGCTCTTCATCCTTTTCTGGCCAAAATTTTTGTCATGGAGAGGGACCCAGTGCCCTGTTGTTTCTCTCTTTCCTGACTTTCTCTCTGTTCTCTCCATTGCACACCGTCACCCAACATGATCTCTCTTTTTTCATGGTTAGGGTAAATGGGTAGAGCCAGTGTGGTTCAGTGGTTTGAGTGGTGGGCTAGGATGCCGGAGACCAGGGTTTGAATCCCTGCTCAGCCATGGAAACCCACTTGGGCAAGTCCACTCTCTCAGTTTCAAAGGAAGGCAAAGGCAAACCCTCTGTGAACAAATCTTGCCAAGAAAACCCCATGATAGGTTTGGCTTAGGTTTTCTATAAGTTGGGAACAACTTGGAGGCAACAATAATAAAGGGGAAACATAGCATTTGAGACATACTCTATAGAAAATGAGTCATCTCAGATTTCAACCTAAAACAAACACACGGTTTGTGTGAATGTCTGACAATTACCTGTCCTTGGTTGGATCCCAAGTAGGTGTTTTCTGTTAAGTAAGTTAGGCAGAGTAGTTGAGAGCAAGGACAGACTTGTGTATACATTGTCAAGGAGACGTTTAGGTAAAAGCCACCACAGCCACAGCTCTTGTTGGGAAGTGCTGAAAAGCTGCATACTATAGGTTGTTTGTCTTTTCCTTTTCCTTTTCTTTTTCTTTTTCTTTTCTTTTTTTCTGCTGACACTTGCCTAAGGTGATGGGAACACCTGAGCTGCTTTAATTGGCTCCTTGTGAACGTGTTTTGAAAATCTCTTTTCTGCCTGAGTGTTTTTCTCTTCTTTCCCTCTATATAAGTTTGCTTCCAAACATGCTCTCCAGAGAACTTCAGCCAACAAAGTGACGTGGTTGGATGGAACTGCTGTGGTCTGGCTTGCTTTGTGTTTGGGATTAAGGTTATTCAAATCTCTCTCTGTTGAGACTCAGCAATGAAGCCGGGTCAGCCTTCTGTATAGATGGTGAGCTTGCTTTGCCTCATGGAAGAGACCAAATAAAGTCTGGACTGTCTACCACTTCCCTAGCCACCACTGTCTGTCTTAGGGTTTTTAATTTACTGTATGCTCAATTTTATCTTTGTTATTTTAAATATTGTACCAGTTTAATTTAATTTTTAAGGGGTGGGTGGGTTGGGGATTGGAGGGATGGAATTGTTTTAACTGCTGTATTGTTTTAATTTCTATACGCCACCCTGGTTGCCCAGCAGAGGGGCGGGTTAAAAATAAAACCTATTATTATTATTATTATTATTATTATTACTATTACTATTAAGAGCAACTTTTCATGGAGACAGCATACTTAAAGCTTGTTTTCTGTAGGCTACTGGCTATATATCCTTTTTCTCCCTGGCTTCCATGCCAGTGGGACAGTGAATCCATGATGTGTTTTAGTACAAACTTCAAAGGACTAAAGGTGCTGAGCCTGATCCCTCAAATAGGTTTGGTACCTCAGAAGCACTTCTAAAACGTGGAGTAAAACTTGGAGTGTGTTCATTGCCCCAATGGAAGCTACCAGCTGTTACTGCTCTTGCAGTTTACTTTTTACACATCATCACCCAGGATAAAGCTTGGCATTGGGGAGAACTGACCCTTTAGAACTGTGCAAGTGAAGAGAACCAGAACGTAGTTCCTCTCCTTGAAGTTACCTCATTTGGAAATAGGCTTTTGGTGCAAGAAAGCAATATTTTCCCACCTAGGAAATATCAGGACAAATTTTTTACATTTATATACCAGGCGCTGATTTAATTTAATTTAATTATTGTATTGGTTTATATGCTGCCTTTCTCTCAATGACTTTAGGGCAGCATTGCATGGCTTCCCCCCCCCCCCCGACTTTATCCTCACAACAACATTGGAAGGATGAAATAGAGTGTCTGTCCTAATCCTGTCACACAGAATTGTGTGGGACATTTCTGAATAAACACATATGGAAGTGTGCTGGAAGCCACCTAAATTCAGAAAGCGGTAGTCAAAAAGATCACTTTCTCTAGCTGTGGCTCTGTTATTTTTTTTAACTTAATGTGTGAACACACTAGTTATTATCTTTTGTCTTAAATAAGGCACCATCTTTTCTTGCTATGTGCTAGCTGAAAAATTATTTGGACAGTGTTGATATAAATTAGGATTTAGGCACATGTCTAGGGCTTTTTAATTGAATTATATTTCTGTAAAGTCCCAGATGTTATCTCCTGAAGATTTTGGCTAGTTCCTAAGAGGTTAAATCTACTGACACACCCTAAGATAGAAATGTCTCCCACTGATATTACATGACTTATGGGATAATATTACGGCACCCAGACTAAGCACAGATATGAGGGTAGTTATTCACTGTTACATGCACTGAAATGCAGACAAAGAGAGCCTGCTTTTGGCTAAATCACATGGCTTTTGTTATTAAAATTTATGAGATGAAAGACTAAAGCAATCTCTCTTAGCTAGCTTCATACCAGGTAATTAAAGATCTATCACTCAAGAGTTAATTACATAGAGGTAGAAAGATTACAATGTATATTTTGGGTAAAAGAAATAAAATGTCCTTGTCACATGAATTATATTTGCCTTTGTCCACAACAGCTGCATGTTTCCCTGAAGAATTTGGAAACTGTGAATTACATTTGCAAGAACAATACCTGTTGCATAACACATTACCTTTTGGGAAGGAAGATGCTGCATTGGGTTTAGCCAAACCACCTTCCCAAGGAGATAAGAAAAAACATATATTCATTTGAGGCAACTGTAAGGTCAAGGACTTTAACAACCTTCACCACCACTACCCACCTTTATTGGTATTGTTTTAAGTCCACAATGAGTTCCAGGCATGCTCAAGTATGAGCAATAATAAAGTAACAACACTAGTGCCAAATGTCTTGATTTTTTTGGTTACTATTCAAAGAATATCTACTTTTGCTTCTGATAGTACAGATTATTGACACTGAAGAGAATGGCAGATTAATACTGTTAGTAGTTTAGCTTTGCTGAATATGAAAATTCTCCTAATTGTCTTCCAGGAGCTTATTGCATTGCCAAAAAAGCTGGCTTACCTTTTCCGGCTTCAGTCTTTTTCTGGAATACACCTAGATGTTACCACATGTAAGTCACCACCAATTCTGCCACAATGCCACCACTTAAATACAGCCTGGGTCAGACGCGGGTCGAAGCCATGTTCAGCTGGCACTTTTTTGAAAATAGAAGCTCCTGACTTCGAAAATTTGTTGGCTGAATGCAGCTTTGGCCTGTGTCTGACCCAGGCTGTATTTGGCCAGCAGCATTGTGGAAAAATCAGTGGCAACTTACATGTGATAAGATCCAGGTATATCCTGGAAGAAGATTGAAGCTGGAAAAGGTAAGCTGGCTTTTTTGGCAATGTGATAAGCTCCCCAGTCTATATCTGTATCTACATCTGTATCTATTTTTATCTATGATTAAGCTTTGTTGAATTGAAGACTATGGCTGCATCTGCACTGGAGAAGTAATTCAACACTACTTTAACTACCATGTCCCAATGCTATGGAATTCTGGGAATTGTAGTTTTGTGAGATATTTAACCTTCTCTGTCAGAGAGATTTGGTGCCACAAGAAACTACAAATCCCAGAATTCCCTAGCATTGCACTATGGCAGTTAAAGTGGTGTAAACCTGGATTGTTTCTGCAGTGCAGATGCAGCCCTTGCAAAGTAAACATATCCCCATTCATATTGATGGACCCTACCACTGACTGCTTTGTGTTTGGTTTATGCATACAGTTGACCCTCTGTATTCAGGGATTCAACCACCAACAGTTTTAAAATACTCCTACACACACACCTCAAAAGCAAACCTTGATTTTGCCATTTTATATAAGGGATGCACTTTTTTACTACGCCATTGTATATAATGAGACTTGAGCATCCCTAGATTTTGGTATCCACAGGGTGAGGGTGGGGGCTTGAACCAACCCCTGCAGTTACCAATGGCCCACTGTATAACGCTGGTGCTAATCATTGGAATGTGTTATCTGATCTAGTCCTGTTATGGTACCTACAGATCAAGGGTCAGTTATTTCAGTTTAATTACCACAGAGTCTTAAAAAAGGTTCCCTTGTATATGTGCAACAGAAAAAGCAACCCAGACTTTTCAGACATAGCATCTCTGTCACCATTCTCTACATAGCCCAGGGCAAGAGGTATGCTTCCCCAGAAGTGTGGATGGAGTGTGGAGCTGGAGGAGTCCTCAATTGCCTTTCATCAGGACATTTTTTGCATCCCTGGGGCTCAAACCTTATGGAGGAGAGATTGTCACAGAGGAGATGAGATACAAAAGAACTTGCTCCTCTTGCTGTGCTCTCAGCACTAGAGCATTTCAACAAGTGGCACTTAGATGGCATGAAAGATAACCTGTGAATTTGTCAGGAAAACAAACAATCACATCATCAAGTCAGCTTTAATTCTCTGAGCAAAATCCTGGCAAAGGTAGATCTTTGAGGGAAACAGCTGTGGAGGTTTTTGACAGACATTTTCAGTGATAATTTTGGAATTGGTGTGATCTCATGGCTTCATTGCTGGACAGAGACTGTTCCTTTTACAGCTGGGCTGCTGGATTTCTCATACAGGCAAGTCTTGGGTTATGCTGGGGGTTCTTTTTGGACTCACAATGTAAACTGAAACAGATGTAAAGGAGGGGTAGTCAGTTCCATAGTGAATCACTGGAAACTGGGGCAGAGGTTGATGCTGATGCAGCCAAAGTAGCTACAAAATTAGAAGCTTTCTTCAACCTGCCCCCAATTTTAAAGTGGTTTAAAGCATAAAACACCACAGCTTACCTTTTCCAGGCTAGAAGACCCCCTCCCTTCCAGATAAGTTACCAGTTGCTTATCCTGCCCCAACATATTCTAGCAGAAGAAACCCTTTCCAGCTACAATAAAACTTCATGGTTCCACCTTCTTCCTCCCCCCTCATGCCCCTCCTCCTAAGCCAGGAAAGGACCCCCTCTCTTCCAGCAAATCACCTTTTCTTACTGCTCAAAAACGCCATGCCAAAACCTGCAAACCACCTTTCTCACCTCATCCTCCTTGTTTTCTCACCTTTTCTTCCTTGCTTACCTGCCTTGTTCAACTGCAAAGGCATGTTGGGAGAGCTATGCATTGTGGATGAGACTTTCATTTATTCATTTATGTCTGGGGAAATGTAAATTTGAAATGCAATAAACTGGGGCAATACTAATTATGATTTACTTGTATGCTT